GAGGGAGGGGGGATTTTGAAGTGGGGTTTGGAAGTCTTCAAAATTTTAACAGGCTGTTTAATGACTGATGTGGAGAATGAGGGAGGGAGTTGGTGAAAGGAGTAGTAAAAGACTGCTTGACAGCGATGAGGGTCGGTTGTAGACTTTACTGTGTCATTCGGTGTTTGGTTAATTTGTTTTTCCTCCAGCAGTGTGCTCACATGCCCAGGCCTGCTACAATACAGGGGGGTGGTGGCGGTCTTGCCTGAGCAGGGAGGGTGGACAGTGGGAGGGAGCATTAGGTATTGTGGATTGAAATGACGGGCCATGGAATTGGTGCCAAGGAAGGAAGGAAGGAAACGAATGAATGGACAGACTGTTGAGAAGCTACTTTAAGTCCCAAGAGACTGAAAAACCAGGGACGTTGAAAAGTGGAAGGCGGAACTGTGAGGGTGCTGTTTAGAGAGGGAGATCCGTGAATTTCCACCTGCGGACAGTCTGGAGAGTCAGCTGCTGTCTAGCGAACTACCTGGCTCTCCAGGGCAGGAGGGCTTTGGAAAGGAGGCTGTGCGGGACAGCTGCTCCAGTGTTCAGGGCTTCAAGAGAAATGACAGGGTGTCAGTAGCTAGAAGAGAATGGGACTTGAGGGAGGAGGAGGAGGCTTTTGTGTGTTTTATTTTGTTTTGGGGGGCCTTAAGATGGCCTGTGTAGCTCAAGATGGCCTCAGGGATATTCCTGCCTCAGCCTTCGGAGTGCTGAGAGGTGGGATAGAGGCTGTATACAGCCTGAGCCTTAGGTTTTCACAGGGCTGTGGAGGGAGGAGTGTTGAGGAGCAGTGTGGAAGGAGGGAGAGGTCTGCGGCCACTCCTTGCCCTGGGGCATGGGTGAGGGCTGGAGCAGTCCACAGAGGCCCAGGTGGCTGGGAAGCTGTGCACTCAGGAGAGAGCCGGGTTTGACTCCATCCACTGTGGGGTGAATGTTCCGGAGGGCCTGGTGGAGAGATCTCTGCTCCAAGGAAAGGAAGCCCAGAGGAGCCTGAGGACGAGTGACCAGAAACATCCTTCTTGGGGGTTCTCTTAGGCCGTGAGGTCTTGAGGCAGGATGCGATTAGCTGGCTATCACTTGGTAATGCAACAGGTTTTTATGCTGGGGACAAGTGTGACTGAGACTTCTTAAGCTCTCACTATGGCCTGGGGAGATGGTACTTGTGATGAAGACCAAGCCTCTTTGTTTTTTTTTTGTTGTTGTTGCCCCCGCCCCGGTATGGGGAATCGAACTCACGACCTTGCACTTGCCAGGCAGGTGCTGTGCCGCTGAGCTAAACCCCCAGCTCCTCTTTGGACTGAGTTAGACATTTTGGATTGAATGGACATTCTTTAGAATGGCTCTGGGTCACAGCTGTTGGGCACATCTCCTGAAGTGGAAGGAAAAGCCTTTTTCCTAGGGTGAGGCCCAAGGGGTAGGGTGCCATGTGGAGTGACTGACTGGAGTCTGGATTTGTGACAGGTTTCTCAAAGTACTGGAAGCCTTCCCTCTCCCCCAAATTGTCAGGGGTTTCTAGAGATGACCAAGGAGGTGTTCATATAGACTGGTGGTGCTGAACTTCTGGTGTAGTAAAAATAAGTATTCCTTACTATGACTTGTGTGCAGTTACCTGTTCTTAGATGTGTAACTGGGGCCTTGTGATCTTTATTGGACATTCTGGGTTGTAGATGCACAGCTGGAAGGACAAGGACTGAAGTGTTGTAATGGTTGTCTCTGACTATGGAATTGTGGTTGTACATTTTTTAATTGCTTTGTTAATCACTGATAATTAGAAAATAAGAGGTAAATATACATTTATTTTCCTCAGATCCTGAGTTTCACACAAGAAAAATTTACTACAAACTTGTATTTGGAGTTTTAGTAATCTTCATATTTTATGAATGCTGTTAGTTTTATAACGGATTTCTGCAGAAATGCACAGGGATATCTGTGGCCCAGTTTTAGCAAGTGTTCAGGGTGGCACTGCAGACGCATTTCCTGTTTTCATTCCTGGCTCTGTCTTTTCTCACTGCTCTTGTTTTTCTTTTGTTGTCTTACCTACTTCTAACTTACGCTGATTAAATTTTGTGTATCTCTGTGTCTTTTATAGAATAGCTGTGGTAAAAATAAGTAAAACAAATATTGAGTGAGAGAGTGTGTACATTCTTCTGTTTCTGATGATTTTTTACTCACTGTTTTCCAAAGGACCAAATACATTTTATTTTGGATTAAATCCTGAGCATTTTATATGTGTGACTATAGAAATGTATGAGGATCACATGAGATTTGGAAACAAGGATGTGTATAAAGAGGACAGTTCTCATTATGTAGTCTAAATTTTTCTTCTAGTATTTTTTGTGTGGGTGGGGTGGTAGTGGTACTGGGATTGACCCCACGGTACCCTACCACTAAACCACACTGCCAGCCCTTTTGAATTTTTAGACAGGGTTTTGCTAAGTTGCCCAGGCTGTCTTTGAACTTGCAGTTCTCCTGCCTCAGGCTCCTGAACACTGAGATTACAGGCATGTAGCACCATCCTGGCTCTAATGTTTTTATTTAGATTTTAACACAAATGAAATTAATGTGTAGTCTGTACAGGTAATTTGGTGTCCTGTTTTCCCTTAAACTACAGTGAAGCATTTTTGTCATTATAAATGTCTTACAAACATAATTACTGATAATTGTGGAATAAGTATAATTTTCTTTTTTATTGTTGGACATTTGGGTTGCTTTTTAAATATTGCAGTGCAGATCATGATGAAAATGTATGTATAACTTTTGATATGCACTCTAATAGTAACTGAGCATAAGAATCATAGTAAAGAATATTTATTTTTACTATGCTAGAAATTTAGCATTATCTTTTTTTTTTTTGGTCTTTTTGAGACAGGGTCTCGCTATGTAGTTCAGGCTGGCCTTGAGCTCACTTTGTAGCCCAGGCTGGCCTCGAACTCGCAACGATCCTCCTGCCTCAGCCTGCTGAGTGCTGGGATTACGGGCATGCACCAGCACACCCGGCCAAAAGTATCTACTTTAATGGGAAAAATGGATGAAATCTATGTAATTTAAAAATTCTCTATGAAAACCATTTGGAAATTGTGACAGGCAAATTTCAGTAAAGAGCTTATACAAATGAAAACCAAAAAAAGAGAGAAAAGTATATAATTATAACAAACATGAGAAGAATGTTTTAAATTTAAAAGTAAAAGAAGGGTAATATATTACTTTGCAGTTATATATCTGTCAAAGATAACTTGTTCTTGGGAACATGTGGTGAGAACATAAATTGCCATATTTTTGAAAGCAGTGTGTCAGTTAAAAATACATGTGTGCTTTCACCCAGCAATTCTATCGTTCGGCATTCATTTTCAGGGGATTATCAGATAGGGACTAATGGTGTCTGCTGTATAGCATTATTTATTGACTGAAAAATTAAAAATTTAAATGGAGATTTGGTTTAATTACAGTATGGCCATTCATCAGGATACTATATATGTTAAAAATGATGTTCAGGGCATATGTCTATAACCCCAGCACTCAGGATGCTGAGGCAGGAGGATCACCGAGTGCTCAAGGCCAGCCTGGGCTACATAATGAGTTCAAAGCCAGCCTGAACCCCAGTGAGACTCTGTCTCAAAAAACCAACCAACCAAACAACCAAACAAGATACTCAATATCTATTAAAGTGATAGAAAATTGAGTGCGAGAATATGCATAAATATGGAAAGATATAAACTTTAATATTAATTTTTTTCTGTTTAGATGGATTATGGATGATCTGTTAGTTTTCATTTCCTTGTTTTTCCTGAAGTTTTTAAATAAGTCTATATAACTTGAACATCTAGAAGGAGAAAAAGGAGCCCATCTTAGGGGAAGTTTGTGTTTTATAGATGTTTGCTGGTGTGCGGAACTTTGAAAAGGGGCAGGCATAGAGAAAGAGCTAGCTGGGGGAACTTCAAAACTGAGTCCTTTACCTTCGCAGTTCAGCTCAGGCTGCAAGCAGAGATTTGGGGGCAGGTGAAATCAATTTTGAATGCCGAAGCTGTTCACAGCTTCTTCTTTGATGGATGACTCTTCCTTATGTGTTTTTAAGATTTTCTTCATTTCTGGGATTAAAACAGACTTTTGGCTGGAAAAAGTACATTTATAAAAATGGAGCTTGAGCCATTTACATTTTGTAACTCTAAATCCTAAGATCAGTAATTGTTGGTACCCTTCTAGGGAAAAATGGTTTATTGGAGACATGATTGTAAATGAGGAGTGAAAATCTTGTTTTGATGTAAATCAACTTTGTGAACACTGATTTTATTATTGAACTGCTACAGTCACATCATAGAAAACTCTAAAAATTCAGGGAAGGGGATAAGATTATTAATATTCTTTCTGCTATACGGTGGGATTTTGTTGTTTCCTTATGTTTTCTTGTGCATCTCAAGTGCAGTACGCTTTCAAGGTCATGGTTCTGGCGTTCTAGTAGAAGATGGCCGAGTAAGCAAAACCTTCTCTGTTTTCACCTCATCTGCTTTCTGAGCAGTGCTCTGTTACCTTTGTATTATTTTCCCTTTGCTTTCAGCACAGCTTGTCAGCGTATTTAGCAGAAGGTAGAGGCTTAATTTCTTTTCACAGATTTGGATTCAGTAGTAGTAGCCTAAGTGGAATTATAGTTAAAAAGAAATTCCCAGAGTTAAGGTTAGAGGAAATGAATCAAATGTTCTAAATAATTCTGAGATAGGTGAGTTCCATTTCCTAAGGGTCAGGAAAAAACAGACCAAGAGCCTGATGTTTTTATTCCAGCTCCTTGAGTTTTTGACTAGGCCCCGAGGCCCAAACTGTCCCTTCCTCATCAGTACACTTCGAAACTTGATTGGTGTGTTTGGTGGAAGGAAAGTGTTTCTTGCCCAGTTTGGTTATTCGAAAGGAGTAATTTTCCTTCCCTTTAGCCAAGATATGCTACAATTCCTTATGTTTATTTTTTTCCATTCTGTTCTTATTTGCAGAGTACTCGGGCGGAGTTTGACTTGCCAGAATATTCTGTTCGTCGAAGATACCAGGATTTTGACTGGTTGAGGAGCAAACTGGAAGAATCTCAGCCCACCCATCTCATTCCCGTAGGTAGTAATCACTGTAGCTTGCTTCTCACTTGGCCCAGGTTGTCTTTCCTATAGCTGTTTGCTCAGCTCTTGCCTCTTCAGTGACCGATACACAACACTGTGCGTTTTGTACCAGACCCACCCCTCAGATGCGTGGAAGACATGCTAGATAGTTTATTTCACCTCTTGGCTTCTTTTTTGTTATGTAGCATGCCAGTTTGGAGGTATCATGGCATGCATTTTTGACAGCTTGTGAACAAGACTTTTGCTGAATGATAAGTCAGCTTCTCTGAAGAGCTGTTGGCCAGCTTTTTGAGGAGTGGGGAATCCTGACTTCCACTTGCTGCGTGTTTCAGGTTGCAAGCCTGGAGTGTGAGCCGTGCTGAAGCTGCGTCTTTCCCCCTTGGGAACGCCGTTTGTGGAGGTTGGGTGGCTGCCACCAGGTGGAGAGTGATGACTCATACTGTGGCTGGCTTGGCTGTCTTTGGACAGGAGTAACTCAGGGAGCAGGAATCTAGCACACATCATTCATCCAACCACAGTTTTTTATTTAAAAAAATAAACAAGAAAACTCCCTAAGCCTATTTATTGAAGCAATATAACTTTTACCTACTACTTATAGCTGCACTTTTTTTTTTTTTTTACAGAACCAGAGCAAACCAAAGCAAGCAAAACAAAACTCATACATTAATATGCATAATATACTGTCGGGCGTAGTGGTACGCACGTGTAATCTCAGCACTCAGGAGGCTGAGGCAGGAAAATCATTGTGAGTTGAAGACCAGCCTGGGCTACAAAGTGAGTGCAAGGCCAGCCTGAACTGCATAGTGAGACCCTGTCTGAAAAAGACAAAAACAACAACAACAACAACAACAACAACAACTCTCCCAAAACCAAACAAACCATGCATAATATATTAAATACATTTCTGTCTACGTTTTTGCAAGTAGAAATAATGACTACTATAGGCCCTACATATTTCTGTTTTATTTTGTTTTTTTGTCTTTTCAAGACAGCGTCTCACTATGCAATTCAGGCTGGCCTTGAGCTCATTTTGTAACCCAGGCTGGTCTCAAACCTGCAACGATCCCCCTGCCTCAGCCTCCCGAGCGCTGGGATTACAGGCGTGCACCACCACGCCCAGCCATGGCCCTACATACTTCTCTGAGTCCTTTCAGGTAGTTTGGGTCATAAAACACTTCAAAGAGGCTGATTTTATTGCTCAACGAAAGCCTTTCGTGAATAATTTCTCAGCCCTGCCAGCCTTTGTGTTGCCACCGCAGCCTCCAGCATACTTTCCTGTCTGGTTGGAAGAGGCCGTATATGTTGAGAACACACAGACAGCTTCTTGGTTTTCAAGGTAAAAAGAGCCAAGCCGCTGGTCCTGGGATGGAAAGGACAGGACTGCTGGGACTCATCTTTCCCGGGCTTCGTCTCCTCTTTCCCGTCACGTGCCCCTCTGTGCCCCCAGCCTGTGGCTTTCCTTCCCTGCTCTCTCATCACTTACAAGATGTTTGGAAGGGTAGCAATCATTTTTAAACAGTTGGGACTATTCCTTAAAATAGAATCTGAATTTGGCAACATTGGCAGCTAGTGAGTACTTTTTTAAAGTACACAGTTTACTTCTGAGCAGTTTTATAATTGCAGACTCACTGCAAAGATAGCAGAGAGTTCTCGTATATTCCAACCCCGGTTCTGCTTATTAACATTTTACATTAGTGTGACACATTTGTCACAGTTAATGAACCGATTGCCATCATTATAAATGCTAAGCACAATTAACGAAGAAAAGTACTTAGCTCAGAGTTCCACAGTTTTGCCTCAGGTCATTTTTCTCTTCTGTGGTCCCATCCAAACTGCCTTACATTTTGCAGTCACGGCTCCTCGGGTGCCGTTTGGTTGTGACAGTTTTTCAGGCTTGCCTTGTTCTTTGATGGCTTTGACAGTTGGGAGCAGTAGACTGTCTCTCACCTGAAGTGTGTTTGGTACTTTTCTTGTGGTTAGAGTGGAGTAATGTGTCTTAGAGGGGAAAACCACAGAGGAAAAAACGCAGTTCTTATCATGTGCATGCATCAGTGTGGTTGTTAACTGCTGTCACCTGACTCGAGGTCGAGCTTGTGGAGTTTCTCCAGCCCACAGCTCCTTTGAGTGACGCCTTGTCCCTACTGCACTCTCAAAGCAGGATGCTCTTTATGGTCACCCACACTGTGTCTCCCCCTCCTGGCAGCTGGTGGGTACGTTTGGGGCTTGGTACTTGACAATCAAAGGGCAGAGAGTGACACCAGCTGGTGAAACATAGTGGCCGTCATCCACAGATCCACAAAGCTAACCTGAGAGTGGAAGTCTCTGTGAGGACCAGGTGGACCCTGGCATCTTTAAGTACGGTTTCATAAAGACTGGATAAAAATAGTGAGTGGAAAGGAACTTTAAATGCAGGTGGTGGTGTACACCTGCAATCCCAGAACTCTAGAAGGCTGAGGGAGGAGGATTGGTGTGAGTTTGAGGCCAACTGGGGTTACATAGTGAGTTCAAAGCCAGCCTGTATTACATAGCAGGAGCCTGTCCTGACACCCCCCAAACGAGCAGGTGGAGACTTAAATTTCTCCATAAATTCTTGATGTGTGTCTGAAGTGGAGTGATTTAACTTAGGAGAACATATTTGACTTGAATATGAAAGTCAAACTAGAAACATTTTTCCCTACCAAAATGTCATTTTACAGCAGTTTTGCTAGAAAGTATCAGTCTGTTATCGAGTGTTAACTTTATGTTCATGTTTTTATTAGGCCTTTTAGTTGACCTGGGAGAGAGGAAGAGAGGGTGAGGTAAAGGTTTAAAAGGCAAAGGGGCCCCAGCCCTGGGGAACTCACTGTCAGATAGCTACCCACTAAACATGCAGTGGAGGTATTTAGATTTTCTTTTCTTCTTTTTATTTTTAAAACAGTGTTATTGAGATATAATTCAGGCTTTGAGGATAGCAGTTGTACAACCACCAGCAAATCAGTTTTAGAGACTTTCATCACCCTACAAAGAAGCTGAACCCCTTAGCTGTCACATCCACACCCTGTCTTTACCAGCCCTGGCACATTTATCTACTTTCCGTCTCTATAGATTTCTGGACATGTCCTGTCAGTGGAAGATACACTACCATGCGACCTTTTGTGGCTGGATTCACTGACTTAGCATGCTTTCCAGATCCACTCATTTTGTGGCATTTATTAGTACTTTGTCTTTTTATTGTCAAATAATATCCCATTGTATGGGTATGCCACATTTTTTTTGTCTTTTTGAGATTGGGTCTCTCTCTGCAGTTCAGGCTGGCCTTGAGCTCACTTTGCAGTCCAGGCTGGCCTCCCTCTGCCTCAGCCTCCCGAGTGCTGGGATTATAGGTATGTGCCACCACGGCCGGCTACCTTTGGGATGAATGGCTGTCCATTCATCCCTGATGGACATTTCAGTTGTGCTTTTCATTTTTAAGGGGTGGCAATAATGAATAGTACTAATGTGAACATTAACATACAACATTTTCTGTGGTCATGTGTTTTCATTTTTCTTGAGTGTATGCCTAGGAGTGTAGTTGCTGAGTCATATGTAAACTCTCTGTTTAACCTTTTGAGGAGCTGTCAGAGTGTTTTCCAAAGTGGCATCATCGTTTCACATTCCTACCTTCAGTGTATGGGAACTCCAGTCTTTACGCATCTTCATCAGCAGTGGTTATTATCAGTCTTTTTGTTTGTTTGTTTGTTTGTTTTTGGTCTTTTTGAGACAGGGTCTCACTATACAGTTCAGGCTGGCCTTAAACTCACAACGATCCTCCTGCCTCAGCCTCCCGAGTGCTGGGATTACAGGCGTGCGCCACCACGCCTGGTTCAGTCTTTTTGATTATAGCCACCCTAGTGGGTATGGTTTCTCATTGTTTTGATTTGCATTTTCTGGATGGCTCGTGATGTTAAGGGTCTTTTCACGCGTTCTTTGGCTTAGTATGCCTTTCTTTCAAAACTAACTGTATTTAGAGCCTTTAAAAAATTGGGTTGTCTTTCTTATTTTTGAGGTTTTTTTTTTCCTGTTTCTATTTTGAGTTATTTCTTGAGAGAACTTTAGAATCTTTTTTGGGAGAATGGTGGTAAGTTCCTGGGTTTGTTTTGAAATCCTAAGTCAATTATAGTTAAAATGTTTGAGAATTACTGAGCTTTCTGAATATACTGCTTACATTACAAGTGTGGAGATACAATCTTCCACTCTTCTTGGGCTCTGTGGAAGCCCTGTGAAGTTGCGGGTGAACAGCCTGCCAGACTGTGGCTCGGGGGAGGCGCTGTGAGCTTCTTTGATTTGCCTTTTCCAGGGACTGTCATTGGCCTGCCCTGGTTTCAGTCACTGTGACTCTGAACTTGACAGCTTTTGGAGTTCTACTAGAGAAACTCAGCCCCCTAGAGGTGGTTCCTAGAACCGCTTTCCTTTTTCCTACAGCCACAGGATACTGATAAACTTGTCTCTCCACTTAGTCATTTCTACTTTGTGTTAACAAATTCTGGCCTACTGAACATGTGCGCAGGGTCAAACCCAGGGCCTTGCACGTGTCCTGCCACTGAGCTACACCTCCAGCTCCTGGCGTGACGGCACCTTTTTATGTTTTGTGATGCTATGATAGATTTTTTTCCTTTGTTCTTACTAGTACATGTTTGTGATACATATTGAGTCTGTACATTGTGCGGAGTTGGCACATATACATATCACATTTAAATCCTTTTTACTTCCGCTTCTCCCCTCTCCTCTAGAATTTTAAAAGCAGAAAGAAAGAACCCGTTCTTCAGATGCCGTCTTAGAACTAGAAGTGTGTAGAGTGTGTTTGTCATTTTATGGAGCCACCAGAAAGTCTTTACTATGACTGTTCTCCCCTTAGTGTTTCTTTTAAACTTTATTGAGGTATAGTTGATATTTTAAAAATCTGTACAGATTTAACGCACACAATTTAATTAGTGAGTGTACTATGATATGGCCACAATCAAGGCAATAAACGTATC